ACCCCCATTGGTAAAGCCCAGAATGAGTTTCAGAGCTTCACTTCTCTCAGAAGCTTATTTATTTACATGGTAAATTTTTACATGGCCCTATATATCCGTTCTGGTGGTGTTACTCTTCTTCAGATGGTATAGCTCTTCTCTGTTGTGTATAGTTATCTCACTGACATAAGTAACAGCAATGTCACCTCTCTGAGTCTTTTCATGAGGGTCCATGTTATTTTAATAATATAGTCCTACAGTTGTTCTCTGGACCAGCTCTGATTTAGTCTTTTCTGAGATGGAAAGCTGTCTACTATCCCAGACAAAGTTTCCCCACATACAGTATTTCCACCTGCTCAGTGGAATGACTTTGGCTGTTATGCTGATTGAATTCACCTGTCACCTAACCATGCCATGGTGATGCTTCATAAACATGGATTAATGTGCCCAGGTGCCTCAGTCACAATGTCATGTTCAGCCATGGAGCTCTGAGCTTGTCTCGGCTTTGACATTGCACTTCCATACTCCTCAGAGAATTCACTTCTTCCAATATGGCACTCCAGTCTCTGCAGATACTGATTTCACTTCTCTCCTATGGATAGTGCAGTCCTATTGGTTGTGTCAAGGAAACAAATAAAACTCAGTAATTCAACTTCTTCTGAGACTTATGCTTAAGGAACTCCATGAGTAACTGTATCCCTTTCTGCTTCTTGAGTCTGCAGGAGTAGCATCATCTTTCCTCTAGCAAGTTCGTTTGTCACTTTGCAGTTCTTGGGCTATCCCACAACCATACTTTCATCCCAGAAAAAAATGAAAGAAATTATAAGCCATTTTAGGCTGGATGAGGTGAACTCAAAAGTCATACAAGATTCAGACAGTGACACAGGCAGCTCCTGTAATAGGATGGTAAGTCTGATGACCTCTTCATTTTTCTCACAAGTTGTATTTAATGTCTGTTCCAGTTAATCTGGCTAAAAATGTGCAGCATTTCCTCTGGCAACAAATGGTCACTGTCAGGCAGAATGCTTCAACTAAGCATGAACCCTAAGGATAAAAATGCGTGAGCATTGAATTTGAAGGATAGAAATAAAATAGGATGTTTAATACTACCCGGAATCTCACATTCTCTGCTGGATTGCTTCCTCTATTACTACAAAATGTCACTCTAGTATCGAATTGTGATATATCAATGTAAAAAACTGAGACTGTCAGGTCTGGCGTGTTTCAATCCACAGCAGCATTCTGAATCCTTCTCCTGGCTCACAGCAGCTTGGAGTTTTAGCTCTGTCTCCCACCATAAACCTCCACTGAGGCTGTTGCAGAGGTTTAGCCTTACCCTCTTCTAGCATACACCATCACAGCTTTCCTTCAGACACATAACCTGTAGTAGCTAACAATTTCAGCTGCTAGAGCTCTAAACAAAGGTCATTAGTGCAACCAGGGCCCAGAATGCCTGAACTGTCAGGCCCAATGTTGCCCTATATCCAGAGAGTGCTTAGAGACATAGCAAAGCCTGGCTCAGAGAAATACCTGGCAAGATTGCGGATAACAATAATCTTACCGTACATTTCCTCCTCTGGCTCCTCCACAGGATCTCTTGTAGGAGGACAGTGCAGAAACCTGTAGACTTTGTTATGGTGAGAAGGTGCAAACAAGGAACTTTGTTTTCATGCAGACACTGAAAGGAACCCATCAAGGAGTTAACTCTCCTTTTAAGAGGGTTGAGGATGGAGAGAACTAGGGCTTGCACCCACATATTGAAGTACAGACCTGAGTCACTTAGGAAGAACCTTGCAAAGTCAATAATTAAAGTTCCCACTCAAAATAATATTATATATATATAATATATGTATCAGAACAAGGCCTGCACTCACTCAAATGCAAGTGATCACAGCCACCCTGAAGGACTTGTGTAGAAATTTGCTTCTAACTGGGCGCAAAAAAAAGCCTGAATTAAAGGTACCAATAAGGTGAAGTGGGAGCAGGTCATCACTCCAAGGCTGCGGTGGGGCGAGGGAGGGGGCAGGTTTCTCCCCAGCACGAGGTGCCTGCTGACGCTCTGGCAGGAGCCGGGGCTGCCGCACCCCGCCTCTGGCCACCCCCCGCA